CAACACCTGGCTAGATGAAAACGCTACGTGTCAGGTTATCCACAACGGAAAACTCAGCAAGGTATTCGAAGTGCATGCAGGAGTAAGACAGGGCTGTCTATTATCACTAATAATATTCCTAATTGTGGTGAACTGGATTATGTGTCAGTCAGTGTGTGAGGAGTGAGGAGATAGGAGTATGCTGGGCCACCGATAAGAATACTCTAGAAGATCTGGTTTTCGCAGATGATATATGTTTAGTGTCACTCAAACAAACCTGAAGACTTACAGGCAGGCCAAAACCAACAAACCGGCTGAGGAAGCAGACGGTTCAGAGAGGATTCCAGGTGACGAACATAGAGAAGATGGAGGTAATGAAGATAACCATCGAACCGCAGCAACAGCAACAACCAGCACCAACCACCATCAACGGGAGAGATCCGACAGAGGTTACTTCCTTCACATATCTTGGAAGTATCGTTTCGACTAGAGGCGGAACGGATAAAGATTGCAAAGTCAGAATCGAAAAGACATGATACGCGTTCGTCAACTTGAAACCAATTTGGAAATCTTCTGCACTAACTCAGCATAAGGAACAAGATTCACATTTTCAACACTAATATGAAGTCGGTCAGTTTGTCTGCACGGGTGGGAAACTTGGCCAGTGTGTCAAGAAAAGGATTTCCATCAGCCTGTTGCAGGCTTTCATCAACAGCTGTCGCCTTCGCTGGCTCCATACTCAAGATCAATTAGGTCGCCAGAAAGGATAAGTAGCAAGAAGCACTGGATGGTGACGAACCAATCAAGAGCCTATCGCTCAACAAATATGCAGGAGAAATTGGAGATGGATTGATCAGGCATACGTTGAGGATGACATCGCACGCAATGCAGGCCATCGCTCCAGTGGAGTCCCAGTGGGAAGCGGTGAGTGTATTGTTGGTGCAAGGGTGACATGGAGGTGATCGTATAAGTTGGAGGAGGAGATGAGAGATTATGGTCAATTGTGGAGCCAACTAACTGAAGAGGGTGGCAGAAAATAGAAGAAAGTGGAGATATGTTGTTGAAGCCGTATGTTCTACTTGGAACTCAAGGGAATAATAATAATAAATTCGTTGATTCCAGTTTTGTTATTATTCTCTCGAGTTCCGAGTGGAACATTAGGCCTCGAGAACGCGCCTTCATTTCACTATGTTCTCTGCACTCCTCTTTGGCTAGCCCCACGACTATGCATAAACTTTCCACTCCTCCTCATACAGTCTCCTGAATGCCACCCTTTAAGTGAGACCAAGCTCTTCGTTTCCCACTGGGATAATACTTGAAGGTTTGGCGCAAGCTGTCACCCAATGGTCTCTTCAGCGTGAGTCCAACCCATCTCCACCTCCTACTACATATTTGTTGAGCAACATGTTCTTGATTAATTTGCTTCCACAGTCCCTGGTCGCTAATTCTTTACGGTCATCACATCCTTAGTGGGCAGCGAAATGGCCATCTATTGATAAAACTCTACAGTAGCCTCTTCGAAATGCTCCGAGTGATGCGCGAGCCAAGTTTCTGACCCACGTAGAAGAACTGACTGACTCAGCATCGATGTTGAATATCTAAATCCTGTTCTTTATGCTGGCTGAGTGCAGAGGATTTCCAAGCTGATTTCACAGTAATGAAGACATACCTTGCCTTTCCGATTCTTGCTGTTTTCAACATCTTCATTCGTCCAGAGTGCCCGTAGTTGAAACGATGCTGTCTAGATACGTGTAGGAAGTAACTCCCTTCAGATTTCTCCCATTGACAGTGTTTGGTGCATGTTGATTGTGTGTCTTCGTCACTTCCATCTTCAATGTGTCCATTTGAACTCGTGTCTTCGGTGCCTGCTTCTTCTGGCTCCTGGTTGGGTATCGCCTGTGAGTCTTCGAATTTATGTGACGTTAGACATAAATCGTTAGTGAAATCCAGATCTTCTATTATTATTATTATATTATTGTTCCTTTGGGTTACTAGTGGAACATAGAGCTTCAACTGCGCGTCTCCACTTGTTTCTGTCTTCTGCTGTACTTTTCACTTGCATCCATGTTAATCCATACTGTTTCAGTTCCTCTTCACACGATCTCTCCATGTCACTCTTGGACGTCCCATTCGCCGCTTCCCTTTCGGGTTCCACTCGAGCAATGGCCTGACGCGCGATGTCACCCAGTGGCCTCCTCAGCGAGTGTCCAATCCATCTTCACTTTCTCCTGTATATTTGCTGAGCGATTGGTTCTTGTTTTGTTTGTTCCCATAGTTTCTTGTTGGTGATCCTTTCCAGCCATCTGATCTTCAGTATAGAACGAAGGCAGCTGTTGATAAAGGTCTGCGACAGGCTGTTGGAAATATTCTTGGTGACCCACCAAGTTTCTGATCCGTATAGAAGAACTGACTGACTTGACGTTTGTTTTGAAAATTCGAATTTTGTTGTTGATGCAGGCTGAGTGACGAAGATTTCCAGATTGGTTTCAGGTTGATGAATGTGTTTCTCGCCTTCCCGATTCTCGATTTGACATCTTCGTCCGTTGCTCCTGTAGTTGAGACAATGCTCCCTAGATAAGTGAATGAAATAACCTCTTTCAAATCCCTCCCGTTGATGGTGATTGGCACTGGATGTTGCTGTTGTTGTTGTTGTTGGTTGGTTATTTTCATAACCTCCGTCTTGTCTATGTTCACCTGGAGTCCTGTCTTCTCTGGCTGCTTCTTCGACCAGTTTGTCGGTCGGTTTTCGCTTGTAAGTCTTCGATTTTGTGTGACATCAAACATAAATCATCCATGCGCGGAATCCATGTCTTCTAGGTTCTTCACGTCGGTGGTGCAGGATATCTCTGTCTACTCGTTTCCCACTGTCTGACGCATAATCCAGTCCACCACAATTAGGAATATCATTGGTGATAATAAGCACCCTTTTCTGACTCACTTGACATGTGCCGTTGTCGTACAGTTGTTGAATGAGGTTGATGAATATTTGGGGTACGCCATAGTACTCGAGTAGTCTCCAAATTACTTCGCGGTCAACGCTGTCTATCGAAGGCTTTCTCAAAGTCTATAAAGTTGAGGTAGAGGTCTGATTGCCATTCCATGCTTTGTTCGATGATGATGCGTAGAGTTGCAATTTGGTCAGAACATGATTTGCCTTTCCTGAATCCAGCTTGTTCTGGTCGGAATTCTGTATCCAGTGCGTCCTTGATTCTCTCCAGGATGATGCGACTCAGGATTTTACTTGGCGTCGACAGGAGCATGATTCCTCGCCAGTTCTTGCAGAGTCCAAAGTCGCCCTTCTTTGGTAGTTTCAGGACGTAACCTTTCCTCCAGTCAGTAGGCACCTTTTCCTCCTTCCAGACTTTTTACAATAATGGAGTCAGCATATCTGCTGTCGTCTCTGGGTCCGCTTTCAGTGCTTCCGGGGGTATTCCATCTGGTCCAGCTGCTTTTCCAGCTTTGAGAAGCTTGGTTGCATTCAAGACTTCAGCTTTCGTTGGAGGATTGGTGTCAACTTGCAGTTGTGTACGTGCTGTTGTTGGTATTTCTGGACTGGTTGCATGTGGTGGTCGGTTCAAGAGTCCTTTGAAGTGATCCGCCCATTGTTTAATCTGTCTTTCTTCCTTGGTAATTGGGTTCCTTTGGCTGTCTTTTATAGGTTTCACTTATGTCGATCTCTTCCCGGATAGAGACTTGGTTATCTGATATAGTGTCCTCAGGTCCCTTTTGCCTGCTGCCTTCTCAGCTTCAGTGGTCAGATTGTCGTAGAATTGTCTTTTGTCCTTCCTGGCACTCTTCTTCACTTCTTTGTCCAGTGCTGTGTAAGATCTTCTTGAGTCTTCTTATCTGTTCAACGTATTTCTGTCCTCCCACTGTTCACAGTCTTCCACATAATCCAGTCGGCCACAATTAAGAATGTCCTCGGTGATAATAGACAACCAGCCTAGACTTACTCCTGTATGCACTTCGATTGTCCCACTGAGTTTCTCGTTGTGGATCACATGGCACGTGGCATTATCATATAGCCAACTGTTGAATGGAGTTGATAAAGACTTGGTCACTGTACGCCGTACTGTTGGGGGAGTTTCCAAATTACTTCTCGGTCTACGCTGAGCTGTCGAAGGCCTTTTCAAAGTCGATGAAGTTGAGGTGGGGGCGTATTTAATTGCTATTCTATGCTTTGTTCTGTGATGACGATGCATAGTGTTTGGATTTGGTCCGCACATGATTTGCCTTTCCTCAATCCAGCTTGTTCCGGTAGGGAGGACTTCTGTATTCCATGTGTCCAGTAGTTTTCAGGTGGTGGTGTATTGGTTTTTAGTTTGTCACACACAATTTTATAAAACACAAAATAATCGAGCAAAGAATATTCTTTTCGATAAATTCCTCTTCCATGCTCTGCAATTATATATATGTTTATATACACAGAATATTTTAAATTAGTAGTTAATAACAATATTGGTGTTTCTTAAATAATATCGATTTGTTAATTAAGATCACAATGCAATCACAGTTCATTAAAGATGCTTAAATTATAATTATAATAATAAAGATATAACAGCGAATAGAATATCAACTAAAATTAGGGAAATTCCACTAAAATTCAGGATCATTCAAACCTAGGTGGCCACTGGGGTAATGATAATGTCTAAACTAACTTCTTTTGGATGCATAAATTAGGCTTGTTAATATGGATCCCCACAGCCTCAGCAATATTTAGAAGTCGAACTCTTAAAGCGAAATTGAGATTCGTAGGTATGCGGTAAATGACCCTGAAAGCATGAATATTGTCAATCTTGTGTTCCGTCTCCACAAGATGAGACTGAATAGCGCTGCGAATAGATTTTGTTTGTCCTTTGCTTAACCAGGCAGGGTTATGTTCGGAAATTCGACGAGAAACACGCCTAATTGTACGGCCTATGTAACACACACACAATTTTAACACAGTCCGAAATGAATTGGGCACTATGTAAAGGTCTTATTTAGTGTGCCTGATTGTTAGTTCATCTATATACGATTAGTTTTAGCCTATGTTCTGTCTCATGCCTCATGGATTACAGCCTATCAGATTACAAATACCACCTTTTTATTTCCAGTTGCTGAATCAATCGATGAACTGTCTGAAGTAGAATCTATTCCACTATCAAAATCTGAAGAACGCTTGAATTTTCTTTCAAGAATGAATAGTCAAGAGGCGATTAATCCTTCAACATCACGATCATCGATATATAATCAAAAGTTGCTTGGCCTTTTCTCAACTGCTGACGATACATCTACAACAACAAATCGACGATGTGTACAATTCATGAAAAAATCAAATATGCCTAAACAAAATGAAAAGTAACCTTCCTTGTTAAATTTTTGTCATTAGATTATTAATGTTAGCAAAGTTGAACTTTAAGCACCACTAACTACCAACCAGCGGACGACCTTGAACGCACCAATCACGTGAAGGAGGCATTTTTGTGTATGGAATACATATACATTTATGAAAAAATGCATAAAAACTGTGTAAAAGTGTTACATAGGATACTTTTCTCTCACAAGTGGTGAAAATAGCTCTCATTTTTAGGTTGGAGTATCAACAGAGTATAATTCCATTGTGGGTAAAATTTATTTTGATAAATTCGTCTCACAGTGTTATACAATAATATTTACTGAGCAATAAATCGGGCTCGAAATGTGGTCATTAGTAAACACTACTGAATGACACTGTGAGACGACTTTATCAAAATAAATTTTACCCACAATGGAATTATTCTCTACTGCCACAGTGCACAAGTTCTATTCTTATATTAACAGAGTAATTTAACCACATTCTATGCATGTAACGGTAACCCGAATCTTTCCTGAACCTAACCCTAACGTGAAAATATTCCTAAACTAACTGTAATCTAACTTGAACCAACTTTAATGTAGTCTTTATTACGTGAACCTAACCCTAACTTGTCCTTCACTTAAAGCGTAACTTAGTCTTTCCCAAACCTAAGCTTAAACTTACCAGATATCCCATTTAATAGCATAAACTTCGATGAGCATATTTTATTGATGATGACAACATTACTTGCCAGGTTTCACTAACTTGTTTAGTGAGCGTTTCAGAGTCATTGGTGCGGTCGCATTCCACTCGTAATTAGTGGTGCTTAAAGTTTAACTAGGCCCTAATGTTTATCTACACAATTTGTTATTATTATTGTCATTATTATTTTGGCAAAGTTCAACAATAGCGTCCCAAGGATGCGAACGCACGAGTGACCTTGAGCCGACCAATCATAAAAATGAGGTGTTTTTGCACGAATATTGACGTATATTTACAAGTAAATGCATGAAAACACATTAAACAGGGTATCTTTCTCTGAAATGACTTGAAAATACGTCCCCGTTATGGTGAAGAGTAACAGTTGCTAAGTTAAACTAGTTTCTCTACATGTATTCATCGAGGTGACTGAGGATGAGGTGCTTTTGTGAATGGCTTATCCCTCTTATCCTGTTGTGTAGTCTTCTCCAAAAGCCTAAAGTTGAATTACTATGGTTTCTAGTGAGAGGTTCGAAAACTTCTTACTTTACAAATTAAAATAAATGACATCAACTCCAAATGTATCCCTAATCGTAACACTAACCTTAATCCTGGCCATAACCCTAAACTTAACACTAACCCCAACCTTAATCCTAATCCTAATTACAACCCTTATCCTAGCTGTAAACGCTAACCCCTGATCCTAACCCTAACTCCAATACTTACCTTAACCATAATTCTAACCTTAACGAGATATTAACGCATTGTCCAAACTATTTAACTGCGTGATCTGGGTGAAATTTTCTCCTTAGTCGGTGAAAAGCATTAATATTTCAGCCATGATGATGGCAGGTGCCATTAACCAACTACTGGCGTGCGTTGAAGGTCATTAGAGTGTTCACATTCATGGGACGCTATTGTTGAACTTCGCCATTATTTTAATCCTTTGCTTTCAGAAAGAAATATAGGGATTGAAGTTTTAGCTTTTCAAAGTTTCAGTAGGAAGTAGTGTTTATTCTTTTTGGGCGGTGAAGTTCCAGACATCTGTTATGACCGGAACTACGACCTAGTGGACTATGAGTGAATATTAACCTAATGGTCTAGCTAATCTGTGCTAATCGCACGACAACAACAACAACAGCAACAATGACACTGCCGGCATGCAAAGACAAAGAAAAGATTGGACGTCGATAAGAGCACGAAGTTCAACAACTGCGTCCCAGGAGTAGGAACGTTTCAATAATCTTGAACGTATGCTAGTCGTTGGCTAATGGCACCTGTCATTCTTATTTCTGAAATATCAACGGTATTCACCAAATAAGATGCAAATTTCACCCAGATCACTTTTTTAAGTACTGTTTCAACAATGTGTTATTAGCTCGTTAGGGTTAGGATTAGGGTTATAATTAGCATTAGGGTTAGAATTACGGTTTGGATATGAGTAATGATTAAGGTGAGGATTAAGGTGAGGGTTACGATTAGGGATAGATTTATAGTTGATGTCATTTATTTTAATTTGTTTTATTATCTACATTTTCCTGATAAGTAGTCGTCAATCATCTTACTGGGAACCATAATAATTCCTCGATTCACGAAAACAGTTCATCTTCAGTCACCTCGATGAATAAATGTACAGAAAGTAGTCTAACTTGGTGACTGACTGGGACGTATTTTTAAGTCATGCCAGAGAAAAATGACCTATTAAATGTGATTTCATGGATTTTCTTGTAAATATACGTCACTTTTATGCAAAACTTTATCAGTTTTATGAATAATCGGGGTGACTCTAAACTATAGCAACCCAAAACGAAACTACCTCTAGCGACCAATCAGATTCGTAAGAAGTAGAAGTGCGCAATTTGAAATAAACGTCTATATACAAGCAATGCAGTGTTAAAAAATGGGTACATAGGATAATATTCTTGTATATGCTCCAAAAAACCTCCCAGTTTCTCACAGAAGTCCTCAGAGTCAGTTTAAACCAGTTCCTGTCAGTAAATTCGTCAAGGTCGTCAATTCGTTCATCAGGTAGTTCCGTTTTGGGCTGCTTAAGCTTAGGGTCACCTGACCTTGAAAATGCAGTAATTCAGTGATGAATCAAAAGTATTAACAGCTAATAGGAATCCAGCGATCGAAACAGAGGGAAAAACAAGGGGCTCACACCAATGCGCGATAATTCCTTCAAATAGTTATTTTACGGTTTTAGACAAAATTAAACAAAACTAGGTGTATGTATCAACATCACGCCAACTCTTTCGTCCTTAGCTATCCTATTACCGGTTAAGCAAGGTTAAGAAGTGCCTCAGTTCGGAGTCAAACTCTGGATTACGTACAGAGTAGTTAGTGACCCAGGCTGGCAATAATTCTAAGCTTATTCTAACCTATGAATATTTTACCTACCTAAAATGAACCCACTACATACTGAAATAACTCTAGTCGTTCTTAAAAAGTGCATTGAATGCTTAATTAATGCGACGAAACCTTAAAAATAGGATTTGCAGCTGAAATAAAGCTGAAAAATTTGCCACTATGCGCTGAATTAAGCCTTCTTGTCCTGAAGTAATTCAGCCCAGTCAGTGCTGAATTTTGACTGAGAGGGCTGAAACAACTCTGATTAGCAAACCCAGTAGCTTCTGAGCTACTTCTAAAAATGCCTAGAAAAACCAGATGGTGCTGAATTAGTGCTAGTCAAGCTGAAAATCAGCACTGAGTTCTAGACTGTGCTCGTAATCAAACCATTTCAGAACGATTTCACCATTATAGTAATCTTGAGAAGAAATGTAACGTTTAACCACCGACGCATACCATGTTCATTTCTTGTAAAGTTATTTTATATATTTCGTACTAACTGGTCTTCAGTCGGACCGAAATAATCTGTCTCTGTAGGTGTGTTTTCGCCTAGTACAGATGCTTAGAAGATGTCTGGAAATTAACATGTTGTCATCTGGGGGATGGTGACTAGCAGTGGGATACAGGATACACGTTTCGTCCGATATGGGATTTATCATCTGAACATGTCTGTATTCTTCACTGAGTGGTGGTATTTCCATTGATACTCCAACCGAGTACAGCGGTTAGGACTCTCGCCGACCATGCACATGGTCTGGAGTTCGATCCCCTGCCAACGCACATCCTATATCAATGGTCGGCTTGCAAAATTTGGGCTACCGATATCACATGCTGAAAATTCCATACTTGTACCAAAAATACGGTGTGGAGTCAAGCTGTATATGAAAAAAAGTGTTATCCGAAGTGTTAATCATAATCAATTAAGGGAGATTTGAAAGAACCTGCATGGTTAGTGCGCTGTTGGAGTTTCAGTGCGAACGCTATCATTCACTGACGATGCAGCTGTGTGCAGATGACGAGTCCCTGATGTGACAAAACACGTGTATGTCTCTGGTTCCATTGTTGTTAAGTTCCAAATGGAATGTGGGGCTTCACCAGCGCATTTCTATATCATCCTTTTTTGCGGAGTCCTATTCAGCAGGTTCCACGATTGCTGATAAATTTTCATCGCCTCCTTGGACGATCTCCTCCATGTCACTCTCGAAGTAACGCTCAACTTGTTTCTTATTCATATTCTGCTTGAGGTTTTGTATTACTTGAGATGTTCCTCTGTAACAACATAAGACAAGGACCAAGGAAAAGATAGTTTATTGAGAAAATCAACAGATATTTATAGATTTTTATGTACATTATTATTAGCGTTATTGTTGGCAGAGAAGCAACGCCGTCTGATTGGTTGTTTTCTTCTCGAAGGTTATTCTATGCTGCCTGTGACCGTTTCTCAGAAAGTAAAGCCAAATATCTGCTAATCGTAATTGCACATACGAAGTCTGCTGTGATTGGTTGTTGAGTTCCTCAAGGTTAAGCTTTGTTATTATTTGTTTTTCTCATGATTCCGATTCGGGGACGTGTAACACTGACGTAAATTGTTGTCTACAATTTTGGCTTGCAGCTAGCTCTCTCCACAATCCAACTGTCTCCTCAGTATGCTCCTGGCTCATCTACATTTTCTTCTACATATTTGTTAAGCAACAGGCTCTTAATTGCCAGTTCTTCCTTTCTTACAATTTCCAGTTGGCCGTCTGATCTTCAGTATGAAGCTAAGGGAGTTACTGATGCAGTGGTCTGTTTCTGTGATGAGCACATCAAGCCTCTGAACCGTATAGAAGCACTAGCCGAAAAACTGACAGTGTTAGAAATTCAGATGTTGTTCCTTGTGCTGAGTTCGGCAGATTTTCACACTGATTTCAAGCTAAGATGGACTTCCATTTCTTTCCCGATCCTGGCCAGCTTTGGCATCCTCACTTTTGTTGCCTTTA